TTACTGGCTCTGTGATTTTGAACTTTAGTTTTCTTTTTTAGAACTATTCTTTGATTGTCCTGGCTAATTATGTATTTTGTATCACTAAAAACTTTAAACATGCCCAGGAAAAATTACTACTACCACCAAAAATCTTCTCCACTAACTAAAGTATGTAACCCAGGTATGTAACCCCAAAGAAGACACATTTACTCTGACTTTCTAGAAGCAAAAATGCTAAGTTGGGGTGTTTAAAATGAGTTGCGTTTGGTTGAAGCCAGGGCCTGAGTCCTGGGAACTCGCTGGGAGCTGCTTTGAGGCCTCTATCCTGGAGGACTTATGATGCGGAAGAACTGGAAAAGCAGGATTTGGCTGCTCTTGGATTGTCCAGGAGCCAGACAGGTGTGTCCTTTGAAACACAAGCCAGAGAGAGGGAAACAATTACCACTTACAGAAGGTTTAAGACTTTAAAAAAATATGAAGAACTTTTAATCTTTTCTTTAAAATTTTTATGCTCCTGCATTTTAAAATATGGGAGAATTTATATTGAAATCAACTATAACACATTTTTAATGAAAGAAGCAATAACAACAAAAACAAAAATTCAAAGAATATGAAGAAAGAATAAGAAAAAAAGGTTGAAGGAAGAATGTGCATAGATTAAACATAAGGATAGATTGAGCTGTCAGTGTCACTGTGAATTTCTGGATAGGTGGGTGAAAAAAAGAAACAGACCAAATCACATAACTCTTATGATCAGAAAGGAGGAAGCAGACCTTAGTGGAGGCTCAATTTTTTTCTTGCTATAAATTCTAAAAGGAAAATTTCCCCAAGACATCCTGGAAAGGTTAGTAAGTGATATTGTGTCCCAACTGCAGCTTTGCTTATCAGCTGCATCAGAATTTTCTGTTCAATTTACTTATACCTAGGTCTCTCCTTAGGAAGTTCTGGCTTAGCAAGTTTAAGCATGAAATCTAGAACTCGGGCCAAATTTCTAGACTGAAGAAAGAGGCATTGCTGTGAATCACTTAATTCTAAAGGGATGACTTGCTTTTAATTAGATGTGGCAATTATCATGCAAATTCAACAGTTAAACTCATTTATTAAATGCACAGTCACTGAGCACTCCCAATCAAACCACCCCCAAATTCAATTTCTCCCAAGGAGGCTTTCTTCTTTCTAACCCAATTTTTGTGCGTGTGTGTGTGTGTGTGTGTGTGTGTGTGTGTCCCTAGATTGAGCCATTCCTCATTAAGGCATCTAGAGTTTAGAGTGGGTTCAGCAGTCTATTCAAAGTTTATGTGCAGATAAAAAAAAATTCTGGCATTAAGATCTGGAACAAGTAAGTTTAAAATTTCATAAGAAGAAGGAAAGTGAAGTGACCTGCCCATGATAACCACCTAAGAGGCCAATATTGGAGGTTGAATTTACATCTTTTCTGTGTCTTCTGCTCTTTCTACTCCTTCATGTTGCCTTGCCTGTGGGATTGCCTCATACAACCAATCTCTGGCATTGCTGTACTCCAAGGATGTAGGGTGTGAGTACCAATGGTTATAGGTGTGTGCCAGCAGCCTGAATAAAGGCATTGTGTTAAGTCACCTGCAATAAGAAGTAGGCTGTTCCCCGGGAAGATGGGAATGGAAACATGCAAACATAAGTGAATGTTTTTAGAAGCTTAGCTGTCTTTGGGGTGAGAGTAATGAGTATCTGGATTGGGCATGTCTTGATTCCAATGCCATGCCTGATTTCCGTCCTTAGAAGCCTATGGGAAAGGTTGGGCTAAATTTCAGAGTTATATGATAGTAGCTTTCTGAACTTACACTAATCATGTCCAAGCTATTAAATGGATCCAGTAGGGAAAAGGAAAATTCTCAGACCAGACCTCAAATAGAAGCTGGGAAAGGCTGTGCTCCCTGGAGATATATATGTGGCAACTCGGCTTAGTTAATGTGGTAGTGTTTTATTTCTATGGGCATCTTGAGGCATGTCTAAGATCACATAGCTTAATCATTATTCTCTACTGCTTTCTCCTATACCGTTCTGCTCTGTTCTCCAGTGGCACTATGGCAGAGAGATAGAACACAGGCTCTGGAATCAGGCTGTTTGAATTCAAATCCTGCCCTCCTCTCTTACTAATATACACACCTTAACAAACTTCCCTGAGCCTTCATTTCATTATTTATATAATTTAAGAATAACTACCTATTTTTAATAGGGATTATGAATTAAATACTACATATCCAGCACTTAGCTCAATACCTAAAACAGAGTAAGAACCCAGTTCAAGCCAACTACTAATATTATTACTTTTCCAGCTTGAACATTTCTGTTTTAATATTTCACTGTCTATTCTCAGAAGAGAGCTGAGTAAGGAAAAAGCAGGTATTTTTGAGCACGCAGGCCATATTGTTTGCATATAAACCCTATTGAGTGAGATAGAGAGATTGCTAGTCCTTTCTCCTTGAATTAGGTTCAGCAGATTTCACCCTACTTATAAGTAACTAACCACGTGATTACGTGGGTCCTTAGATTTTAGGGCTTCTTATCCCCACATTTAGCAGGCTGGACTTGTACAAAGCGAGTTCCTAGCAGACTTGTGAGCGCAGCCTGTCCCCTTGCCCCCAGTGCTTATTTTTTCCATCTCTCAATTGTGACTCTTCCCTTAAGAGACTCTTATTAAATTAGCAACTGTAACATTTTATTATATGTGATGAAAATATATTCATTAAAAATTAATTTTAGAAAAACAAACTATAGTAAGAACCACCACCACCACAAAATACACCTTTTCTGCTTATAGATAGGCATGGGTACCCCAAATCAAATAAAACCAGACAGATCCTTTTTCCTTTTTTAGTTGTAAATTAAAAATCACCTGGGGAGGTCACTTTGATGAATGTTCTCCTGATTTATCACCAAATTCCATAAATCCTCTTGAAAAGAAAAAAATAAAGATAAAATAATGAATTACAGTTTAGACTGAACAGATGTGTTAGAATGATCACTAAGGTGTCTTAAATGTTTGGGCCCCACTTTTCTTCTCCAGATCCTATAAATGAAATGAGACCTAAACTTCCTGTAATAGTTCATAGTTGACAAGACATTTATGCATAGTTATCTCTGTCATCTCACCAAAAAGTATACTAGTTAGGTGTCTATTTACACATAAACTCCATGAAGGCAAATATTTTGGTATGTTTGTTCAGTAATATATCACCAGCACATAGAACAATGCCTGGCATAAAGTATGAATTAGTAAATATTTGTTGAATGAATTTTTATTATCTTTTTACATGTCAAAAACTTCTGAGGCTTAAAGAAGCTTAAGAGATTAAATCACATGGCTGGTAAACCACAAAGTAAAGTTTAAAACTTAGATCTCCGTAGTCATTACTAAGTGCCAGAAGCACTATATACTACTGCTCACAAACTGGGTACTAGGGTAGCTGCTAAGAAGGTAAAAGATGACTATAATATGGTTTGTGAAAAGATTATAGTCTAGTGAAGAAAAGAGAAACATTCAGTTACAAATAATTTAAAATAATGTAGGAAAAAAGTTGTTATGAAGATTTCTACAAAGCATTGTGAAATCCCAGAATATGAAAACCTTAATTTTATAATTGTAGGGGTCTGTGACTTCTCCGCAGAGCTTGTTTTTGAGTTAGGTTTTAGAAAATGATTAGACGCACCACATGATCAGAAGAGAGTTGGGGTTTGGGACCAGGCATTGCTGACAGAGAAAAAAAGCATGTGCACAGATTTGCCGGGGGTGGGGGTGGGGGGGTTGTATAAACATGACCTGTTCTGAAAACAAAAATTGTTTGTCATTGGGACATCAGGTGTTTGGTTGTAGGAATGAGAGATGTAACTGAAAGACACATCGGCATCATGGAAGGACCTTTAACCTCAGCCTACTGCATTTGCTGTAATTTTGTAAGCAATGGAAAGTTATAAAAGGCTTGCAAGCAAGCAGGGATATGACCAAATCTGCATTTTTGATATATTACTCTGGTAAGTAGAGGATGGATTGGAGTGAAGAGAAACAGAAAACAGTGAAACTAATTAGAAATCTAATAAAAAGAACTCATGCAAAAGTGATGGAGGACTCAACTAGATCAACTAGGCAGTGGAATTAAAGAAAAGGAATGGAATAGGAAAAAATTTAGGGTGGATTGTTCAGCAATTGGATGAATGCGGTGATGAGCAGGAAGGATCCAAGAAGACCCTGACTGGATTCCGGGTGGACGGGGATGTCACTTGCTGAGATAAGGAGGAACAGATGTTTGAATGAGATGATAGGTTTCAGTTAGACATTGAATTTGAGGTATTGGTGGAAAACTAGATGAAATTGTTGTAGCAAGCACTGACTCACTTCAGTCTAGAACTCAGGAAAAGGAGTGCAATAGAGATCTGAATTTGGAACCCATTAGATTATGTGCAGTAGTCCCAATGTAGAAACTGTGAAGAATCAGGCCATTTAGTGTGATGGCATTTAAAAGCAGAAGCGTGATGAAAAGCCAAATAAAAAGAATGAGAAAGATTGGCTAGAGGTAGGGATAAAATCAGGAAAATTTGTCATGGAAGCCCAGGGGATGGGGGATATTCACAAGAATTAGAGGATCCTCCAAGAGTGAGAGGAGTTAAGAATGCCTGTGTTTTTGAGAACAGGGGTGAGCTGAATGCAGTTCACACAGCTCCAAGGTAATCCAGAGGTAAGTGGAGGGAGAAACCTGGTCTATCCACTGTCCCCAAACATGTATCTAGCATTTATTATACGCCCAACATACTATGTAGGCATCAGATATGTTGGAGTAAATATAGGAAAATTCCTATCTTTATGAATCGCTGCCATTTTTCTCATTCTCTCTTTCAAACCAAATGTCATTCAGTCTTTCAAGGCCCAAATTACATCTCACCATTGCCATAAAAACTTTCCTCAGCCCCATTGACAGCTCCTTTCTTTAGAAATTGCCTGCAATGTTGTCTGACATTTATTTCACTAAGCATTTTCAGTTATCATTGCATTGGCTCATGTCATTTTACCATAAGGACTGCAAGTTATCTGAGAAAAAGAGATTTTCAGTCTAAATTTTTCCTTCACAATTTCTGTCCCCACTTTCTACATATTAAGATCTTCAGGATTCTTCAGTCAAATTGGGGCAGATAGGCTTTAGATCTGATCTCTAAGGTCTCCTTTCCTGATTAATTAATTAACAATTATTCACTGACTGCCTGACACTATATGCCATGTACTGTCCTATTACAACGAGCTAGACAGATCTATTTAGTCCTTACTATGATTTAACTATGTGATTAAAAATAAATAATTTCAGATGATAACAAATGTTATAATGAACCTATAACAAGGTAAAATGAGAGAGAATGACAGAGGTGGAAATGGAAAGAGATAGTATGAATAAGAGTGGTCACAAAGTAGTTTTCCAAGGAGGTGACTTTTAGATGAGCTGCAGGACCAAGTACTAGCCATGAGAAAAGGAAAGAGTATTTCAAGCAGAAACAAGATCAAGAGCAAGGGCAAGAGCAGGGAGCTCCTGATGGTCGTAAATTCAAGCAACAGACAGAAGGTCATTTATTTATAATATACGGAGGGAAAGGGAAAATGGCAGGCACCATTTAGAGCCCAGAGCTGAGATCAATTCTTCAGTATATCAGAGAGTCAACTTTCAGGGCTAACTCAGAGAAAAATATACAATTTTGTATCTGGGAAATTCCCTAGGGAAGGAATAAAAAGAACTATTATTGTTCCAATTCTGTGCTTTGCTATGTTGTGAATATAACAATATTAATTCAACTGGAGTAATCTGTACTTTGTACCTAATGGGTAGCACCCCTGTTGTTTGCTTATTACTTTCCTTCTTGTTTACTTTAACAATTGTGGGAAGGTAACAGTTGCAAAAGCAACCACAATAGGAAAAGCAACCATAAAAAAGAAACAGCTGTGAGTTTCAACAATGTGTGGAAGATTGCGTGCAAAACCCTGCCCAGCCAGATGAGAATATGTTGTTTTAGGCAGATCAGAGATTGCAAGAAAACCCCTGATTATGTCTACTGTCCCCTTGTTATGATTAGTGGTTTTTAATCTTATTGATCACCGACTCCTCTGAGAATCATATAGAAGTCATAAACATTTTCCCCAGAAAAAACACAAAAATTCACATCTACACAAAACTTAAACACAAATTTTAAGGCTATGTGGAAATTTAAGGCCCTTTCATGTAGATCAGAGCATCTGATTAAGGGCTTGGCTTTCAAAAACGTACTGTATATCAGAATAACCTGTGAAGTTTATTAAAAGCATGTTCTTTGCCTTGCTCCCAGAAAGATTAAAGATGGGATGTAGGGACCTGAATTTTACATAAGTTTTTCAGGGGATTCTGGAGCAGGTGGTTAATAGATTACACTTACTCAAACATTGCTTAGGGGTCTATGAGGGAGAGAATTAGAGAGGAGAGGCTTAGAGTGGTGGAGATTGAGCACCTAGAATTCAAGAGTGAATTTGATCCTGGAGAGCTGTAATTAATATAGGAAGAATGAATAATAGGGTAAAGCAGTCGTGTAAAATCAGAGCTAGGTATGCTGGAGTAAGATGAATTAGGAATTGGGCACAGGGGCTTGGAAACAATCTGAGAACTTTGGGAAGACTCTAGGCTTGGTGATCTGCCACTAAGGAAATCCCTTAAGGTCAAACCAAACACTCATGCTGAGAGGTTCTTTAGATTGTCTCTATCGTCTCTGCTAACCTTCCTGAGTTACTCAAGCTAGAAAATAAAAACAGAAATCATCACATCATCACTAATGACCATATCACTACCCTTTGCCTTCACCACATAATCACAGTGTTTGCATTGGGTGGGCCCTTTATTCCTTCACCTTTTATAGATGTGCAGACAGAGGTACCCAAAGAGGGAGGGTCTTACCCAAGACCAGCCAGTAAAACAGAACCTCACTCAAGACCAGAACTTGGCTTTCTTTCTCCTGGTCCAGTGCTCTTCCTCCTCCCTATTTGGCCCTGGGATAAAAAAAATATTGTATAGAACCATTTGTTGGAATGTGTTCACCCCAACAGAGTTCAGGTAAATTCAGTCAGATGCAAAATATATCTTAAGATGAAAAATATCTTCAGTGAAATATAACACATTGTCATGTACCACAGATTTTGTTTCTCATTCATTTTAATGCAAAGTGGTCATTACCAACAGTGAACTGGACAAAAGCCAGGTTTATCTGAGATCTTACGTGTTCCTGGTCATGGAGCGGAGGATGAACTCAACTGCATTCTCAATGATCTCTGTGCCCAGCAAGTTTAAGAATTTGGGGAAATCTGGGTCTGGGTTTTTGCCTGAGTCATCCGGCTTGTTATCTGGTTTGTCATCTGGTTTGTCATCTGAAAAACAGAACAAAATCTCAGAGGTGATTCTCAGCAACCAGAAAGGAAGGTCACTTGTCACTTTAAGGAACCTGTAGAGCCCTGTGTACACCCACTGACTAATTATGCAGCCTCATGTAGTTATATTTGTTGAATGTTTAATGCCTGCCTGGTTTAAGTCTTCACATGCCTTATCTTATTTATTCTTAAAAACAAACAAGCAGATCAACAGACATTGATACTTAGGTGGATATTTGCTCCATTCTGTGGATGTCAAAAATGAGGCTCATGTAGGCTAAGTACCTTTCCCAGAGTAGAGCAGCTGGTAAATGCCAGTGCCCAGAATGAAATACAGAATGCCTGGTTTTTCTGTGTGATCCCATGTTGGGAGTAATAATAATAACAAAGATGAAATAGTAGTGGGTAGCATTTGTTGAGCACATACCTATGACAGACAATCTGTATGCATCATCTCAATTTATCAGTATAATCCTATGAGATAGGCAAAATTACTATTCCAACTTAAATAGAATTTGAGAGAGGTTTAAAAGCTGGTTCAAAGTCACAGACTTAGTACATGGCAGAAATATAATTCAAACCCATGTCTGTCTGGTATTAAAATCTGCATTTTTAATCACTCTGTGATGAGCTGCATAGCCTTTGACTGAAAAGTTACATAATTTGCACTTCTTTTATAAGATTGAAAATAGTACAATTATAATGATAACAAAGAGAAATTCTATCACTTTTATATTACCTAATAGTTTTGTAAATAAAAATTTACAAACGCTGTGTAATTTTGCCCTTGACCAATCTTATGGGGTATGCATTTTGTTTTTAGCTCACTGGGCTGAGAAAATGAAAAGATTAAGTGACTTTCAAAGACCTCACAAAGAGCAACAGAAGAAGATGGGACTCTAACTGCAGGCCACTTACACTTGACTCTTAATCAAATGCCTTTCTGAATGAGGGCAAGGATCCAGAGGGTAGGGTGTTTGGCTTTGGTTAGTGGTCTTTGTTTTTAGGAGATGAGAAGGAATGAAAAGAGTGACAGCAGCTACATGTGGCCTTCTCTCTGGTGACAGGATGAAGAAGGAACTTTATTTTTTAGTATTTTTATTTTATTTTTTCTCTAACACTGTTGAACCTTATTTGCATTGTTGAAAAAATACGGCTCTGCAAACCTAGTCACATTGTAAGTATTCATTTGGCCTCTCATTATCCAACTGGTTCTTTTCCATTACTTTTTTGTTGTGGTTGATTGCAACATAATTGATCATACATATCAGTGGGGTACAGTGTTGAATACTGATACCTGTGTGCATCATGTGATGTTCATCATTACACAATGTAATCATTTTTTGTTGCCCTGTATCAGTTCCTTGCTAACCCCCGTTCCCCCTTTCTCACCTCTGATGTCCTCCGTTCTGTTCTCTCCTTTTGAAAGTTCAACAAATTATTGTGATTGTTGTATATTTCTTTCTTTCTTTTTTTATTTATTTGTTTATTTTTAAATTCTCACTTATGAGTGAGGACATGTGGTATTTCTGTGCCTGGCTTATTTCACTTAACATAATTTTCTCTAAGTTCATCCATGTTACTGGGAATGGCAGTATTTCCTTCTTCTTTATAGAAGAGTAGTATTCTGTTGTGTATATATACCACATTTTCCTTATCCAGTCATTGTGGACATTTATGTTGGTTCCAACTCTTGGCTATTGTAAATAGAACTGCAATAAATTTGGGGAGTGGGTATCCCTTCAACTTAATGATTTCCATGCCTTTGGGTATATATCCACGAGTAGAATTGCTGGACTGGATGACAGTTCTATCTACTTGTTTGAGGAAACTCCATACTGTTTTCCATAGTGGTTGCACTAATTTGCAGTCCCACCAACAGTGCAGAAGGGTTCCCCTTTCTCCACATCCTCACCAGCATTTATTCTGTCTTTTTGATAATGGCAAAAATAACTGGGATAAGACAGAAAAATAAAATACCTAGGAATCAATTTAATCAAGGAAGTGAAATATCTCTATAATGAAAATTACACATCACTG